CATGTCTGCAACTCCCTCTCAGATGGCTCAGGAAGATGGATTTGGACTACATTTCCAACATTTCTTTAAGATTAAATTTATTCCAAATTAAGAAAAGAAATAGAATGTATTGAATATAGGCCTTCCTCCAAAAGAGTGTTTAAAGATGTTTACCGTAAAAGAACATATTTACAAAGGAAAGTCATAAATGATAAGAGGAGTTGACAGAAAGAAAATAATTTTCAAGAGACTGAAATTATTTTCAAATTCTAACATTTTCCTTTTTGGCCAAGTTGCTGTTTAAGTAGAGGGAGTTCACTTGCATATGGTATACTGACTTCCAACACCACTTCAGTTACAAGCCTTTGGAAAGAAATGAGACATGCCTTTTAAAAATATTTTTTTTTCTAAGTCATCCCTTGACCTCTTTCTGATCTTTCCATTAATACTTTTTGGTGGAGTGTGCATTCTCCTTTCGCATCCCCCATCAGGAAATCGAGAGTCAATCCTAGTTATTCTCTGTAGTCTTTACTATATTAACAGCGCTTCAACCCCAGCCATTCTCCACACAGATCTTAATTAATTGTATTGTTATTTGAATTCCTATGTGATATATTGGCCTTATATTTTTAAAGTGCTTATATTCCTGTCTTGAAAATTGTGTAACATTTCACCCAAACTTCTCCTTGTCCAATTTAATTTGCAAAGTATACTGACCTCGAGAGCTCTTCCACCTGGGAAAAACATTAACTATTATAACTATGCTGCAGAATCATGGCACTCATATAAACAAAATTCCCTAGAGACATCATCAAAGGTTAGTAGAGCAGACTGGTTAACCCATGGGTAGAGTCAGATGTCTGGATTTAAAATCTATAGCTCCTCCACTTACTATCTGGATTTGGATTAGCTATTATCTGCCCTGTTTTTCTGATTTAAAATAATGAGGAGGGAAGTTAATAGCGGTACTAATGTTGCAGGATGGTTGTGGATATCAGAAGCATTTAACATAGCTTCTGGCATCCAGCAACTTTTTGTTACATATTGATCATCATTAGGGAGCCCTGGATCTAAAAGGAAACTAAGAAAATCTCCATTGTCATGTTTTACATAGCTGCACTCAACAATGCAATAATGCCCATCAGCGTAAGCACTGCAGTGGTCCCCCTTTATCTGTGGTATCACTTTTCATGGTTTCAGATACCCACAGAGTCAACTGCATTCTGAAAATATTATAGGGAAAGTTCCAGATATTTTGAAAGACAGACCACATTCACATATTTTTTATTACAATATATCGTTAGAATTATTCCATTTTATTATTAGTTATTGTTGTTATTGTTAACCTCTTACTGTACCACATTTATAAATTAAACTTTATCATAGTTATGTATGTTTAGGAAAACATATAGTGTATATAGGATTCAGTATTAGCCGCAGTTTGAGGCATCCATGGGGGTCTTGGAATGTACTCCTTGCAGATAAAGAGGGTCTATTCTACTTGGCTTTCTCATTCCTTTACTTCTACCTTCACTAGTATGTCCTTTTGAATAAAGTAGGGTTCATTTCAGTATGTACATTTGTGAAACATAGAGTTAAGGCTTGTTGAGTATTCCTATCATATAGGCAATTTACATCATGCAGGCAATTTATTGAACCATACTAGTAGAAATAACTCACAAATGGATAGTTATAAATAAACTTGTTGGGCACTGACTCTATGCTATGCCAAATGCTTTAAAAATAATCATTGGATATTTCCAAACATACTTTTTTAGATAGGGATTATTGTGCACATAATACAGATAAAGTGAGGCTTACATGGGTTATACCCTTTATGCAAGCCAAAGGCAAATTTGCAGCCAAATAATCTGAGATTCTATTTTAAACTCAAAAAAAATATTTTACCCAAATGCAGGTATAGACATAAAATCAGGGTTAAACACGCCTCACTTCAATATATGATAGCATTAAAAATATCTATTTAAAGTATGGATATTGATAAATATAGGCAAATTTTCACTGAAAAAAACAACTACAACTTCAACAATGCTTGTTTGGTATCCACAGTAAAAATCAGACAAGCTTGCATGTTGCTCTTTATGTAATATAGCTATAAAAAAGTGAGTTTACATCAAGTTCTGAAATTCACAGAATATAAAAGAGCTGCATTTCCAGCTTCCAAATAAGATATTTCTAAAATAATTTGGCTGCCATTTGGGCAAATATATATGTGTGTATTGTCTTGACAGCTTGTCAACTGGCAGACAGTTCTTGAACATCACATTCATTTAAATTTAATATTGGTAAATTTCTCAATTAGAATTTTATTTTTCACTTTCTGCACAATGAAATCCCTCAGTCCTTGCTGGCATTCCTCGGGGCGTACAGGTGCAGGTGCTGGCATTTCTGCAGCAGCAAAGGAAGAAAAATGAAAGAAGGAAGGAGGGGAGGGAAGAGACAGGCCTAGAGAGAACAGTGGTAATGGGGAGAGAAAGGAGATAGCAGCTGACCTTCATCCTGATATTCACCTTCATGAGAAACGAAGGGAATAATTCACACTTGACAATAAAATAATGCAGCCGCTTCTGCTTCCCTTAACCAGAGAGGCTGGAGTCAAATAGAAACCAGACACCCAGTACATAACATCAATATATAAGGAAAGGTCCAAAGGTAAGGTGGGAAATAGATTAACAGAAACAATTTTTTTAAAATCCATAGCGAGCAATTATCGAACTCTTATTTACTTTATGGCATACCTCAACCTCATATTTTATCATGAATTCTCACACAATGAAAGCAAGATGAAAATTGTTATCTTCGCATTGTAGCTAAGGAAAATAAACAATAATTTAACCTCCCCGAATTCACAGTCAACTGGATAATAAGGGATAGAACTAGGATTCAAAATTCTCTAACTTCCAAACCCACACTTTTGCCTGCAGCACAGTTCATGTAGTTTTTGAAAGAGATGTCACAGACAAAACATTAAAAAAAAATAACCATGTAAATGTTACTGTAGGTTATTTCTTTTAGTTTCCACTCTCGTCAAGAGAAAAAAAATTCATATATTGTATATTTACATTAACTTTGTATTAGGTAGCTAATAATAGCTTCAAAATCAGTTTCTTAGGTGAAACTGACCTTGAAGTCTGCAGAACTTTGGCGAAGGAAGGGAGGGTCTTTCTCAAAATATATATCAAGCACATGACTCATATACACAGAAATGGAAGCCTCTGACACATTTACAATAAATAGATATAGACTTGCCCGTTAAGATGTAGAAATCATAATAATAAGGCAAAAATAACAACTTCTCTGTTCATCATTTGTTAGCAATGAAAATAAAGTGTCTGTATTTATTATAGGTGCCAATCGTCCTCTAAGACCATATTACTCTAATCTAGATGAAAATCTGAATGAGGCAAGTTCTCTGCCCTCAATAAGTTGCTCAAACAAGAAGAAAAAAAGAAAAAGAGAGGAAAAAAAGAACAAGCAAGGATATTGAACTCTACAAATTTTATTTGGAATTCCAAATAAGGGTCAGGTTATCTTGTGCTTTGCTTTTCAAGATGTGGACCCTGGGCCAGCAGCATCAGTATTACCTTACAGCTTATTAGTTGGTTTGTGTTCGCATGTTAGAATCTAAAAGAAGGACTCACATGGAGATGTTTTTGCTTGTTTGTGGGTTTCTTTTTGAGGCATTGGTCGAGACAAAACTTCCTGCTAGAAAGCCATAGATGGTTCCCTAGAAATAGTGTCATTTCAGCCAGCTGTAGCAGAGTGATGTGATTTTGATAAGAAGGGAGTTGGGGAACAGAAGTAGAATTCCTTGCACAAGAGAGAGACAAAGTATACAAAGTCTTGGCAGGAGAAATACATGGGCAAGATATCAAGGCCTGAAATCAATTCTGATGGGCTGCTGCTTGGGCAGATCCACCAAAGGTTTATTGTAAGGAAGAAGAGATCAAATGCAGTTAGGCTATTTAGCTAATTCTGGCCTTCAATTTATATCTCTGCTTGTGTTTTTTATTTGTCTCCTTACGTTCGCCTGCTTTGAATTTATGTGATTTTGCCGCACATGTAAAGAAAATGCTAAATGATTTTGAAAACATTATTAGCTACATAATGCAATGTAAATGTAAATATACATAGCATGTATCCTTATAGGTTGCTTTAAATGCAATTTAAAACAAAGTAGGGTCCATATTACTACGTACACAACAATGACTTTTGCAATTTTATGCTTTGAATTTTGGAACCTGCCCACGAATTCTGTCAGATAAGGAAGAGCTCTAAAACCCCATCTCTTATAGTCTAAAGTCTGGGATCAGGGGTTTCCTGGATCAAGACCAGAGTTTGAGGAAAGGTAAGCAGATTCAAAAAAGAGGGCAAAAAGTAAAAAATCATGTTTTGAAATATATTCTTCTCTGTAAAACATAATGGACACTTCAATGGCTCAGAAAAAGTGAGTGTGGGCCATTGATAATCGTAGTGCTCCTAAAGAAAAAGTTATTTAAGGCGAGATGGTGACAGCACAAAAGTCTCTGGTGACTGTGATTTTTTAAACCACCAGCTCATTTCAATATCTGGCTGCCTACAGACCTAGATGGTTCTCTATTTCTCTATGCACTGCATCTGCATGTGAATATACACAAACAAATAATTAAACATCAAGCAAATATCAATAGGATTAGTCTGGCATGTTGGAACAAATCTTGATAAATCCGCCTCAGTAACAATACTCCAACTACAAGTCTATGAGAGGAATGCAAATTCAGCCTATTGAAGTACTGTGGTGTAAAGAGAGATATTTTAATAAATCTGCTTCGTCAGTTCCTATTACTGAGGGACTGAAGCTATTGAGCTGTAGAACTGAGGCCAAAAAAGGGGATTTGGAAATGCAAATTAGAGATAAGACGGTAATAAATGTCTTTTAGTCAGCAACACACTATCCCTGATGCCAGGAGCTATTTTAAAGATGACTCTTAATAGTTCTGTGAAACTGGAAGCATACATACCCAAAATGGACATCTCTGGCACGGTAGCATGATAGGGTCCATTAAGAAACTCCGGTGCATTGTCATTGATGTCTTGAACTTTAATAATAAATTCAGAAGGAGGCTCAAGAGGCTTGTTCGTCTCCCAGTCCACTGCCTGAGCTGTTAAGGTGTACTCAGCCTTTTCCTCTCGGTCAAGTCTTTTTATAGCATGGATATCTCCTGTTATATCATTTATTTGAAAGATTGTCCCAGCTCCATCACCTGATAAGATATACTTAATTTTTTTGCTTCCAGGATCCAGGTCTGTGTGCAGCTGAAATGAAAAGTGACATTGGTTAGTGATGGGAAAATTTGCAATGTTAATTTAATTACCTCCTGTTTGAGTACCAAGTTGGTTCTTTTTACATTAATTGTAACTTCATAATTTCTGTTAACAGTAACAGCTGTACAAAGAGTCTATGCAATTGTATGCATATCAATCAAAAAAAACCAATGAAATTCATACAGATAAGTTTGAACAGTTAAAAAATAACTCTGACCTATTTAGTATAAACTGACATACATTTAGAATGATAAAAAGATCAGGGAAAAATATAAAAATGTATAAATTCTTTTCAGTTTATTAATATATTTATTTAAAGTTATCATTAGCTACCTTTTATGAATCACTATTTGTGTGCCAAGAACTATGTGAATCATTTCTCATATAATTCTCTTCATTTTTACCAAAAGAAAATCAATAGTTGAGATATTTCATATAAAACATGTAAAAAAAGAAGTTTGACAAGGCACATAATAACCTCCCCAAGGTTCATATTTTGGAATCAAGCATTGGAGACTCAGAATTTATCTCAGATCTGCCTGTTCTATTTATGAAAACAAAAAACATTCTAATAATCTGATATGTATTAAAATCTTATGTTTGTCTAGGATTTTTTTTTCTTTGTTTCATATAATTCTTCTGGTCCAGGAAAATTATTCCCATTTTATAAAAAGAACACCGAGGCCAGAATATGAGGACATGTTTCTAGAAATGAGACCCCTTTGAAAAATAAAAACTTTGCAGCAAGAATCCAGATCCCTCTCAGGTCATGGCTACAAATATTTATGGAACACCGACTCTGCCTGAAATGGTTTGGTAGATACTAAGGGAAACAGTCCCTGGCTTTAAAATTTTCAGTTTACTCTCAAGAGGGAGACAGGAGTGTTCTGATACATGGTGCTTCTTTTTATACTACGTTGACTCCTCTTTAAAAAAAAAAAAACAAGAATACATTTTTAGTTTGCATTTTTAAAAGAAAAATTCATTGAATTATAGTTGCAAAATACGGCTTACATGCACATGTTTTCAGTTTAATTCAGTTATTTAAATGCCAATATAGTTCCACTTATCGCACCATGAGATTTCAAATACTCGTTTCTTAAAAAAAAAAAAAAAAACAATCTCCTAAAAACTCAAAAGACATTGTATTCTCTTGGGATCACTTTTATTCAGAATAGGTTCTATCGTTCTCTTTGCCAATTCAAATTGTATTTAGCGCTTCAATAAATGAAAAGAAAAGATTATAAAAAAGACATAAAATAGCAACAAAGAATTCAAATGCATCAAGATCTCCAACTTTACTTTTGAATATTTTAAAAAGTTAAAGCATAAGATTACATCAAATATTTATTGAATCTCCAAATGTATCCCTTTCATTTATTGTATTAAATTTATTAACAAGAGCAAATATTGAAATGCCACTTTATCTTAATGAATGTGGGATTATAATTCATTAATGTGATATTAATCCTAATTTATGACCATTTTAATTTATGTGCATTTTAATATTTCCATTAGCATTTTTATTAAAAAAAGAATATTTGAATAATATATCATTCATGGAAGTTTCCATTCAAAC